GTCAGTTATGTCTAAAAGTGGGCAAGTTAATGAAAATAATTCAAGTTCAATTAAGTCAAAAAAACACAAGATTGATAAGTTAGAAGTCAACCGTTAGAAAATTATAAATTTAAGTTAAAATTTAATATGGAAAAAATAATAACTTACCTCAGTTTAAAATAGGTTAGGTTTTAATAATTTTTATTTATAATAAATGTTTTATTTATAGTAAATATACTAATTGTAAATTGTATTCATGGCATCCGTTACATAATAATGTTAAATAAAATATAAAATTTTATGTTCTATATATTTATTTATGTGATAATTAACTGCACAACATGTGTTTACAGTGTAATTACAAAATTGTTTATTTTGTGAGAAAAATTATTTCGAAGAATTCTTTGACTTCAAGTGAAGGTGCTAAACTATGACAATTTTTTAAAGAGTATTTTAACGGTGTTTTTAAAACTGATTTAAAATACCTAGTGGTATTATTTATAATTCGTTTTTGTAAAAAATTTTAAATGCTTGATTGTATTTCAAATATTAATTTTTCATATTTCAGTATTTTATCATTATTTATTGGATATAAAATCTATTTTTAATATCTTAATTTATGATTAACACATTGCAATAATTGTTTACAAACGAAAAATAATAAATCGTAAGCAGGTATGTGAGGGAATCGGTTAATCATTAGTCATTACCTTATTATTGATATACAATATATAAATATTATTTTTATAGCGTTTAACTGTATACTGTATATTATGTATAATTATATAAATATTAGTGTTTGAAAAGAACCTGTTCTTAAACGCACATGGCCACATTCATCACGTTCAAGTTAAGTTTATATTTTTCGAGCGACATGTAAACGTTACAAATAGTTACATCATAATATGTAGTTGAAAAATAAACGCAAACGTGAACAGGTGAACATAAATAAAATGTATATTATATTTGAAAAACTTGAACGATTTGATACATCATTCGAATGAAATTTCATTTTAAAATTCTCGTATAATAATGAATAATGTATTGGTGTTTTACTTAAATTGTGACATACTGACATCAATAAATTCATATTATTATACCAAAATTATTCTCATAAAAATACATGGTACGCGCTATACATGTTTTATAATTTATTATAATTTATAAAAATTTATTATATTTTAAATTCTGAGTGAGATTTTACAATGATTCATGTTTGTGTGTGTGTGTATATAATGAATAAAATCATTGTCTGATTTATTATAAATTAGGTTATTTACAATTAGTTTTAAATACCTATCTTAGTATAAATAAGAATTACGACTTTATATTTTGTATTTTTCGTTATTGTTTATTAAATAATACTATTGATAATACGATATAAATAATATATATAATTATTAAGAGGACGCTTCACAGACATTTATTGTCTGTCTTACAAGTACGTAACATCCCAAATTTACTTTCAACAAATTAGGTTTAGCTTCGTTAAGAGTGAATTAGAGTGAATAGAACTATAATGAAACTTGATGGCAAGAAGATTATCCGTGTTTGTATATGGGTGTTTTACGATAGTTCAGTTTTTTAACGAATTTTACGTACGTAAAATATAATAAATTAAAAATGCTCATAACAAACTTAAAAAATTGAATTTTCGCAAAAACCCACATATAAACACAGCAAATGTACTTATTATCAAGTTTTATTATAGGTCGATTTACTTTAATTTTTAAACTAGCGAAGCCAAACCTGATCTTCTTAGTGTTCATTAGCTATGTTAGGAAATTGTAAGACGTAGACAACGAATTCCTGTGTAGAGCGTCCTCTTAATTTTATTCTTTTAATTTTGTTATTTTAATAAATATTATGTTATGTTGGTTTTTACCTCTTTGAGAAAATTTTGAATTTTAGGTGTTTGAGAAATAATTAATTTATGTTTTTAATTTTTTTTCCTTGGCTCGTATATGGAATTCAGCACCGCATAATTGTATTAATTTTCTACTCATATTGATTGAAAATAAAACATTAAGCACATTTGTTTTTCAATCTATTGTGAATCGAACGAGAGGTATAACAAAAACATTAAAAATAATTGCTTGGTAGTGTAGTGTGTAGGTACGCATAGATTATTTGAAACTATTAATACCAAATTTAATTATCTGATGGTTATAATGAATTATTATAATACACACATAAAGCCATATAAGAAATATAACAAACACAATTATATTATATCAGTGTGTGTAGTCTGTATAAATACTATAAATACAATTTATACTCGGAAATATTACGAACGAAAATAGAAAATAGAAATGCATGGATCCGAGCGCTAACTAATAATAATAATATGGTTTTACCATTAATATACTAAACGCCTTACTAACGAAATAATTCTGCGATTTAATATAATACAATATTACTTATGTCTATTATTACTTGTTAAAATTGTTATTCCTATTTTTCAACTATAAATTAAAAATTTTAAAACTTATATTTACACCGTCAAAAAAATTTACCGCTCAGAGCAGCTACCTCTTTACCCTTCCACCCTCCTGCAACTCCTACTGTAAAGCTAAGCTACTTTTCTCATTAGTCATTTTTAAATATTAAAATTATTTTTTTTAATTACCTATAGGCTATAATATATGAAACTATGACATAAAAATAATTATTTGATTTGTATTTACTCTTATTTAAGTTTGTGCCTCAGAAACATAAAAGTCTATATTATGTCCACTTTTCATTATTTTGGTGGTTTTATGATAAATTATTTAGTAGTTGGTAATTGTTACATTATTTAAAATATTTGAACCAATGGTCTATATGTTCTAAATAGATATATTAAACTAAAGATATTGCATTTTTTTTATACACAATGTTCACTTTAAAATCAAGATGTCATAATATTTTAAGAATATTATGCTATATTATATTTATTAAAAACATGAGATATGTCAAATAAGTTATTTCTTCTATACTGAAATGAGCTGACAACGCTATGCCAATAGTTGCTAAAAGCTCAGTAAAAAGATAAATATTTAGACTGATAATTTTGTCAAAAAAGGAATTTTACAAATTTTATTTTATTTTTGGCTCATTCAAAAATTTCTCAATATCAAAACAATAAATCATAAATATTAATTGAGATGATACATGCACATGGAAATATGGAAGTCTAAATGAATTATAAAATTATTAATATAATATCACTTGTTTGAGAATAATAAAATTTATAAGAGCATGAAGTCCAAACATTCAATAAAAGTGTAGCAGTATTGAAATACTATTATGAAGTTTTAAACTTTTAGATTTTAATATTGATTTATTATTTATTATTATATTTATATTGTATACGCTAATTGCGTCGATGCGAATGATTTTCCCATTTGAGATCGTTATCGACGGGCGACAGGCCATACGTCCATACTATAGTTATAGTATCTTAATTATATACATATTATATTTAAATGTTTGTAATGTACAATAATGTGTACGTCATGACGACAAACGATTACCGATTCGTATCGTATTTCACAGTTGTTGTGCCTTGTCGATAAACTTAAAATATACTTTTTCTCGAATGCGCAAAACTTGACTAAATTATCAATTTTCATACACTACACACATTCTCAAGTTGCCTCCATTTCGTGCTTCAATCTTATTCAATTTAATTAATAAGTTTACTACAAAAGTAGAATAAATGAATGTTAAAAACTTAAAAAATTTTAATGAACCTTTTAAAAGTTTTTTTTCGCCATTCGTAAAAAAAAAAAATACAATTACTGAACCATTTCATAAACCTGGTTTTATGATAAAGAATTTCTAAAGAAATTGTAACTTAAAAAAAAAAATGAGTTTAAATCTATAGATTTATCAGTTATATAAAAATATTATACCACATTCTTTAACATCTACAACATGTCCTGAAGGCGCTGTTAATAATACATTATTTATAAGAAATAAAAGATTATTATGTTTTTAATTGTGTGGAATAATTATTTAGTTATTGAATTTTTCAATAATTAAAATTATTTTTGACGTAATTAAAATTGTTTTTAAAATTATTTTCAAACCTTAAAAATGTTTTATGACAAAAAAAACTATATCCATATTTTAATTTTCACAATAAAAGATATATTTTTTTTGTTTTTTTTTATTTATATAATATATAAAAAAAATATGGATGTAATTTTTAAAATATGTCGCAAAAGTTACCAAGAAAAAATTTTTTATAAGTTTTAATAAAGTTTGGCTTTCCAGAAAAGTTGGAAAATGAACATAGACTTAAATTTCTGAGGTATAAAATCAGAAATAGATAAATAATATATAACAGTATAACACTCCTAAGTTCTAATATATATATATAAATTCTTGAAATATTGACTATAATTTATAGATTCTATTTTTATTTTAAATTATTATAAAAAAAAAAATAATAAAATTTTACTTTACCTATTTTATCACAATGATATTTAATATTTTATGTTTGATTTTAATTGTTTACCTTTTCATAAAAATAAATAGAACAAAATTTGATGCTAATTCGGTATGCATTCTACACATAAAACTCACGAAACATCATCACAGCCATCATAATTAATAAATAATACGCGATGTATAAAAATATAAAAATAAATAAATATAATACTCGTAATGAACAACTTCCGTGAACGTTATGTAACTGAAAACAGAAAAGTTGATAGTAATAAAACCTACAGTAGGTAGTAAGTACTTAATAGTTAATACAAGGTAAAGATAATATTAGAGATGACCAAAGATTAGATAATAAAGTCGAAATAAATATCCAACATGTTGTATATTATAAAAACGATGCAGATAACTCATATTATACAGTTGTCCAATATCCCCATACTTAACGTAGACCGAGTGTAGAACGGCAAAACCTGTAGAGCGCATACCGAATTAGCACTCAAGATTCATGAACAGAAAATGATGATTCTTCGTTTTGATAAAAGAGAAAAATGGTCTAGATTTGTCTTTTTAATATTTTTTAGGTAAATAATCAGTTGTAACTCATCTGTCATATTTGGAGGGAAATTGTCATGACTTCGAATAATCGTGATACAGCCATACCAGGTGTTGTTGCCTATTGGTATAATGGTATATTATCGTTTAAATACACAATTATTTTTGATGCAGTGCAGCAGTCTATTAATACCATTAACTGCTATACAGTATGCACTATATGTCTATATAGACACATCTATAAAACATATTAATTAATATCGAAATCCGAAAACAGAAATTGACCGCACTCATCTTTAAATATTATATGTCTAAATATGGTATAATTTGTCTCTGCCGTTTCTGGCATAATATTATATTTATATTGTTTATTATTATGACGTAACATGTTATTAATGTACGTTTAAGATAGTGGTTGCACTGATCTCGCGACGTAATATTTTTATAGTCGCCGAACGTCGTCAGATACTCAGATCACACTACAAAAATATCGTTTCAGCGTTCCAGCGTTTTCTACCGCGTCGTTGTAAGCGAACTAGTTACTAGACCCTTGTGTCGCGTTGTTTTTCGTTCGAGTGTGTCCGTTCTTGCCTTCCTAGATATTTCGATTGTCGTTTTTCGTCCCTCACTCGCTACGTTTTTCCGAGATCGGAAACGATCCGATTTCAATCCACGTTATTGCGGCAGAGTCGTGACGAGAATCCACGTTGACGATGGCAGATGCGACGCACAAGTAAGTGGTTATTTTACGCGCACGTAACTACCGTTGGCCGACTAATTTATCGTCAATCTGTGGTTGTGGGGAGACGTAAGAGGTTTTGGAAAAACCTCGGCGCGTTTACGATCCACCAGCAGTTAGTTGTCGGATTAAATTTTTCGACTATTTTCAGCTTTTAACTCACGACTTATTTTTGTGACATCTACGAGGTAAACGACATGATTACAATAGATTTTTTATATTTCTGATCAATTAAAATGCTTATCAATAGTTCTTTAATTATTCAGTAGTAAAGGAATCACATACCTATGCATTTAATACAATATTACAATGGCAAGATAAGCTAAAATAAAAGTTGAGTCTAGTTTTAAATTTTTGCACTGGATTCCATAAAATTTAATCTAATAACCCTGATCAAGATCAAAGTGCACCAGCTCAATTTTTTTTTTACAGTAGCTAGTAAAAATTATGAATAATTTGTGTATGATTTATGTCAGATGGTATTCAAGGAACAAAATATTGAAAACAATGCAATAAAAGAATTCTGAGTAATTAAATTATTTAAATACCTATTAGTTTAATTTTTAAACCTATATTTCAAACTAAAAACTGAGAAGGTAGATTTAATGAAATATAACAACGAAGAATTTTACTCTAATTACAATTTTTTTTTATGTGCAAATATTAGTTATATGTTACCAATAAATTGAAATATGTAATTGAATACATTTTAGCTATTTTATATATTGATATTAAACTCTTCGTAGCTACTTATTAATTTACTACTACATAATAGATTTACTATTATTAAATATGGAAAATTTTTAATTTAAAAAAAATAACAGCATATTACTAATACATATAAAAACTTAATTATTTTTAAATGTTTCCAGATTTCTCATGTAAAAATTTGTTTCACATTGAAAACTAGTGTTTGAATTTTTATATTTAAAAAAAATTGAAATATACTAATATTCTGTAAAAACAATCTAGAAATTTATTATTCTTCTTTTATTATCTTATAAATGATAAAATTGTTTATACTAATAAATAAAAGTTTAATTTAAATTATCTTAAAATATGATCTTTTCATATCATTTAAAATATGAAATATATTCTCTTAATATTCTTTTAAAATACCAAATATATTATGATGTTTAAGTCCTTAAAAATCCAAAATATTCTTTCAATATTTAAAAAAAAAAGTTTTTGGCATATTTGTATGTTGTAGTAATACAAATGGAAAGACAATATAAGCGATAATATATATCATACTCAAATATTAACACACATTGCAACAGACAATAATAGTCGTAATAGCTAACAAAATAATCGATGTACTACCGCCATAGATAAGAAATATCTGGTAATTAATTTTTAGTTTTAATTAGAACCCAGGAGGATATTAAAAGAATTTGTATAGTGAATATTGCATTTATTAATCAATATTAGCAAAATGCCAATATATGTGAAATATGTTCATTATGCTGATATTACGAAAATAAAAATATTCTTAAATATTCTCCAACCCCTAAAATATGCTTTTCGTATAAAATAAATTTTTTTATATGAATTCTATGCTCGATTCTATGTTTTATGAATCGAAATGATATCTTACTCCCATTTAACTGCATACACTAGAGATAAATATGTAAAATCATAAAAGTCTGACCTCTATTAATAATAATATGTCTTACACAGATATAATCAAAATATTATGTGAATTTTTAATTTTTTGTTTAAGTAAACTTAGTTTCACAGATGATATAGTATGTTATGCGTCTTAAATGTTTTAAATACCATTAATTTTTAATTTATTTATTGATTATTTTATAAATTTAGGACATTAACTGATGGAATAAAACGCTGGAAAACCATCAATTTTTATTTAAGTATTGTAAAGTATATTATTTGTAATGTACTAAGAATTTTGTTGTATATTGCGGCATATATGATGCGAAAGTGTAGTTCATTATTTGAGAGTTTATCTGAAGGTCTTAAGATGATTGAAAAAGCAGAAGATACAACTGAGAAAACTATTAAAGATAGGTACTAGTAAATTTAATTTTTAAATATATTATGATAAACTATTTTTAATAGATAAGTTCAATTTCTAAAATTCTTTTTACCTACTTAAAAATACCTATCTAAACAGTTCAGATTTTTATACTGGGATTTAAACGATTTGTCTCATTATTTAACTATTTAGGTAGTAAATTAATATCAATATTTTTATCTCCTTAAAGGTGCGATACTTATTGTTTTTCTAATCATGCCGACAAAGATGAAGAACTAAAAGAGAAAAAACAAATTATTATCAATACTGTTGATGAATTAATAGACAAAGAGTAAGTAACAACTAATTATATTTCAACTTTTTAGACAATAGAATTATTGCTTAAAACAATAAAATATTTTTTATTGAATTTTCTAAAAATTTAAGTTACTTAAGTTGATTATATAAAATAATTTTATTTTGTCTTTTCCTCAAGGTCCAATTCTGATACTAACAACATTGGTAAAAATGAAGAACGAAAAGAAGTGAATAATATTATTGGTGATGTTATGAATGAATTAATTGACAATGTGACTATTAAGTAACTATACAATTTTAATTTCCTTAAAAAGTAAAATTACTATGATAAAGTTATATTTAAATAAATTAATACACATTATTTCATTCATAATACTCAACTCTAAATAAAAATTATTTGTTGGTTCAAAATTCTTGAAAATATATTACATTAAGTTAAAATCCTAAATAGTATAAAAATATTAAAAATAGTTGGGCACAATTTTTTTTATGCATTTAAAAATCAAATTTGTCAAAATCATTATAATTTACAAATATTTTGTAGTTAACAATGTATAATATTCTTCTTGAGAGATTATTCTGGAACTAAAAAATCTAAAAAATAAACAAATATATTATTTTTTTTATACAAGTATTTTATTTGTAGTTCAAATTTGGATTAAATTACATGTTTAAATGATTAATATTAATGTTCATTTTTTTATTTTAATTCAAAAATATTATATTATTTTGGCGCTTAAAACTTTTATGTATATTATGAATTTTATTTTGCTTATTAACATTTTCAAAATGTATAGATTAATTTTAAGTTATTGCCCATTTTAAAATTTTACAGTAAAGTAATATTGACTTAAAAGTTATTAACCTTAATATAGTATAGAATTTATAATAAATTATATTTGTTATTTATCTTATATTTATCATAGTTAAATACTAATTATATAATAAATACAATATGTTTGGAAAAAATTGTATCAACCTACCACAATTTTGAGAGTAGGTAATATCAAAAAACATGCCATGAAATGTATATACCTAGTGACTTAGGTTGACAGACTATATCCATTAAGATACATCATTTATGTACTATATACTATTAAATTCATATTTAAAACATTCATTGTAAATGAACCATTCACCATCTACCTCATAGCAGAATGCAGGCACGTACACAAATTAATATTTCAGGGGGGGATTAAGGTTATACACTTTTATAATTGTATAATAAGTAGTGTTAATACAATTTTTATGGTAGAGTTATTTAATTTTTATTAAAAACATCAATATATATTTTTAAACTTTCAATTTTACCTACGTCAATTTACACTAATATTTTATTAATGAATATAATTCCTGAAAATCAAAAATAACAATGAACCGTAGTATTTATAAATTAATAAAATTAATATTTTATAATACAAAATTAATTTTTCCTGGTAGTCTTGCAAATATATTAATAACTTCGTCAACAATAATGTCATAACTTCTATTAATATTCATAAGGGCTAATCCAGTCAGTCGGCTTGTCTTATATTATTTCTTAAATAAGTATGAAGTCTCTATTATGTTGAAAAATATCGCTCTTCAGTTGCAGTCATCATAGAAAGAGTAGCTAATGTTGTTAAAAGACGTTTTGTACTTGGATAGAAATCACTTGATATTTGACTAAAAGTAGTTAATGAACACCGGGTGATTATCATCAGATACATTTTCTCATTGTGTTTGCCAGATTTTAATTTCAATGTTAAATGTATCGAAATTTGGTAATAAAGGTTTGTAAAATAGTGCACATTCTTTAATTTTTTTAATAAATAGTATCTTAAGTAATATACTTAGGAATTAATAATTGAAAGTGGACATTATATGATTATGTTTAGAAAACCTTTAATTTAGTTGATTAATATAATGATCCAAACAATGGCAAAAATATAGTATGTTTGTGGTATTGTTCTGGTGAACTAGCTAGCATGTTATTTTGAGAGCTCTGGCACCATAATTTTGTAAAAGCTATACTGTGGAATAATTCATTTTTTTAAGAATGTTAATTATGTAGATTAATAATTGTTTTTAATCTACATACTCAATGGTTTTCAGCGTTATTTATTATCTGTAAAATCGTTAACTACATAATCAAAATTAATTATGTTTATTAATTTTGTCTTTATTGTTAATAAACTCAATGATTTCTATCTATTAGAAATTAAATAGTGTTTTAAATAATTCTTGATGCGTTTTTTAATATAGAAAAGATAGATAACTTAAAATAATATTATTATTTCATTAGATGGGTACTAAGAAAATAATCAAAGTGGTTTCCCGCGGAGATGGTTTCAAATATATTATTTATCTTAACCTTTATTACAAAAATCTAGTTTAAATATTACAAAGATACTATAATTCTAGCCAGCGGCAACTACGTTGGTGATACTGTAAAGGCTCTTGTAATTTTTATCTACAATTTTATTTTGAAAACTTATTATATAGGTAATTGTTATGTTCTAAGTTCTGACAATTTAAAAATTTGCAAGGTTTATTTCGTATAATATGTCTCCAAAAGAAAAGCTACCATCACAACGCAAATTTGTCGCCCCTCAAGATACTGCCGCTGTAAACACGTGCTTACTTTATTGGGAAATACGCCACTGTACCGTTACAATTTCTTATAGACCCAATTTGGCGAGAGCTAAGTAGTTAGTTCAGTGAATGCGCTGCGCAATAAACATATAATGTATAGGGTACTTCACCTGTAATATATTTTTGAGCACTTTTTAACTGTCCAACGTTCAATAGATGGCAGAAATTTTAATCTATAGAATTAAAAACTACAATAATGATATTAATACAAATAATATAACGAAACATTTTATTTATTTTCCTCATTGACAGAAACCACTTAAGTTTCGATACTCTTTAAATACGTTCAAATGTTTAGGGATTGATCCCCCAAAACCCCCCTTTGTATATGCGTCTGGCAGAGTGATACTCAATTGCCCACTTTGTGTTTATTCCTATTATGGGAACATTTCATACATGATGTCATCTGGCTTACATGGTTTATAATTAAAATAAGGACTAATATTATTTTTTCTGATTAAAATTTAAAAAAAAATTCCATGATAAACTTAAAAAAAAAATTATTCTAAAAATAATATTTCTTGTATTTTTTAATAATTTAATGTTTTTTTTATACAGAAATAATGGTCAATCTTTTTTTGAACATAATATAGATGCAGAACAAAAATTAGTAAATGGAGCTATCACTAATATTGTAAATAGTGCTATAAATAAAGAGTAAGTTATAAACAACCTTTTATTTTATTGGTGGAGACTTGTTCTCACTCGTATTGATATATTTCTAAAATTTACAACAACTCAATGCACAAAATGATGAGTAGTAAAAACAAATTTTAAGTATACAGACTGTCGCTTTAATTTATACACCATTATAATACTATATTAGGCCTTTACCTCATGAAAGAGGACTTGTACACTTAAACTTTTCAATAGGTGTATCAACATGAGTTGTGTAGGACAGGTTTTAATCTTTATAGCTATATTTCTTGCACTATTTTTGATTAAAGTTTTCAGTGATATTGATAAGTCTTATAACAATTTTGACCCCTATCTCATAATATACATTTTATTTTAGTCATTGAATTCAAAATAATACCAAAGAACACTATATGTTTAACACTAAAAAGGGACAATTTATAACATTGATTAGTTTTAAAGTTAGCAATTATGAGTAATGAATAAAAATGGAAACTTTCATTTAAGTAGGTTACATTATACAATTGTAATTGTCAACTTATTTAATAGTTCAGAATATTGCAACGATTAATATTTAGATAAAATAATCTCATTAGCATTTATAAATTATGAGAAGCTTATTGAAAAAACAGGCTGAAAATAATCTATATATCATTCCAAACAAATGAATACACCAAAAAATAAAATTAATTAAACTTTTCAGTCTATGAAATCAGAATATGATAAGACAGAAAGTCCTAAGACTTATAAAAATGAACAGAAATGTTTTAGTAGTATAATTTTCAGCATCATTAATTATTAATTTGAAAATTTAAAACTGCATAGATTATGTACACCTATGTACGATTAATTTTTTTTTTTTTTAAATGTCAAATCATAAATAATTGAAGTAATTTTAATAATAATTAAAATAGGTCAATAATTTTTATGTGTAATATTTCCATTTTTATTTAAAGACCCTATTACAATTACAAATAATATAATTCAATATTTATTAATATGTTAAGGTATGGTTCTCTTGTTAAAATTGAAGATTTGAGTTCTATTAAAAATTTATTATAGGTTCAATGATTTTATTGATTTTGTTTTGTTTTGTTTTTTTTTTTTTTAGGTCTAATTCTGAAATTTCTGAAGAATCAGTGCAGTAAGTACTTTATTTAAGTTTAAATATTAGTATATTTTTATATATGATTTTATACTGACTCGGTTTTTTTAAATTAAAATGTTTAAATTATTATTTTTAAAGTTCTAATTCTGAAGATACAGAAGAAAAAGTTGAAGAAAAGTGAGTATTATTTATAAATTATTTTAAAAACAAATAGTTCTTTTATAATTCTATAAATCTAATAATTCCTATTGAAGATTTATAACAGCAATAACAAGAATTTATTTTATATCAATATTCCATCTCGATCTAATACATAAAATAGCAAAATTACGTTCAGAATAATCCATTTTATTACAATGTTATTAACTTACCTTAAGTCTTTAAATGAATATATTTTATATTAAAAAAAAAAAAAAAGTTAAATGGATTGTTAAATATAAAAAATTATTCATGTTGTGAGTTTGTAAAATAGAAATAACACAACATGCTAAATTAATGTCCTCTATCATATGTAGTTTTTATCCTGTAGAAAATAAAAAAAAATTACTGAAAAGTAAAATGCATAGAAAACACTTTGTCCAGATATATTGAAAAATAAAGATTGTTGATGTATGATACATATAATATATATGTTCATAAATAATATGGTAAATATGCTAGTTGCATGCAGATGTCGTTATTTTTACATTATATGTCTAATTTTGCAATGTGTTATGTAATATACTAACTACAATATATATTTTTTTAATATTAAACAGTGACAAAAATAATAAAATTGGTATACTGGCCAATATGTTAGGAGCTTAGGATACATCAATTGAAGTATATTAACATTTTGATAATAGGGAGCTTATTTTAAGATTCTATTGTACTTTTTAATGAACATATATCTATTTAAGATTTTTTTCTAAAAATTTGTATTAGTACACAAACACATTTTATAATTATTTTATTTACATAATTATTATAAATGGACATTACATTAGAATTTCGATTATATGGGTAGAGAAGTAACACAGACAAATGAAACCATGGTTCAGGACTTTTTTTAATAATACATTTTTGAAATTTTTTACAATATACATATAATAAATTAGAAATAAAATAATTTTATATATGTATCAAGATTTGATAAATGAAGTTATTTGTCTTGGTTTTTTTTTTTTTTTTGTTGGTTTGTAATAACTTTTCTTACTTCACTTCTTATTTTTCTTAAGGTAATAATGCCATGAAAGTCAAAATTTTCTTGTTTGGGAATTTTTAAATTTACGGTAGAAAGATTATGGTTAATCAAGATTACACTGTATATATTTTAAGGATAATAAATTACTATCTTATTATTTTATATTATAATTTCAGACAATATGGTATTTTAATATTTATTATTATTTTATAATTTAAGTTTGTTATATTATTGTTAAAACCAAAATGTTTAAGATAATCCTATACTAAATTTAGTTATTAATAATTATTTTTAGAATTATTGTTGATGATGGGATTGAATCACCAAGAGTTAGAAAAAGATTTGGTGTTAAAAACACTGCAATACTTTTAATAACTAAAACAATTAAGGAAAACAAATTAAAAGACAAACAGTTTAAGATGGAAACAGAATTTAACAGAAACAAGTAAAAAAGCATATTATTAATATTATTACATTTTTTGATGAACTCGACCAATATTTAAAATAATTAAGCTATTTATTGTTGATTTTTTATTTATTGAGTACTGATATATTAATTTTTTGTACAGAATATTAAATAACGGAAATCCTTATCGGGACAAAGATGAAATCTTTACAAACAAATCTGATAGTTTTAAAAGAGAAAAAGAATCGTTATTAAAAAATGAACCTGAAAAATCTGATTGTTTTGAAGTAGCTAATAAAAGTTGTAGTAAAGACATGGCTATTGATAGTACATCTAAGTACAAAAGTGATAGGATAAACCTTGATATTTTCAAAACTAAAGAATCAATAGAAAATCAATTGAAAATCAATGAAAATGAAAAATTGTGAGTATTTTTTATTAAAATGTAATACATTATTATTTTTAAAAATATAGTCACAAATTCAGACATCTATCATGTTTAATAATGAACTGATATTTGTTATGTCAAATGTTAATATTATTCATGAAAATATTGTATATAGAATATCATCATTATTTTTTTATGATTCATGTTTTTTTTCTTGTAAATTCTTATGATTAATAAGACCATTTTCTAGAACTATGAAAAATAATGTCGATTGCTTGGTAAATGATGACAGTAATGAAAGTAAAAAACCATTCACAAAAACTGAAAATGAGTAAGTATAAATAATATTTAAAGCAACTAGATCCTTCGTTACAAATATATTCATATTAAAACTTGAGATTAAATTATTTTTTTAAATAAAAAATACATTTATTTTATTTATATGTTTATCTGTATGCCATGCTTACTTAGTGAAATTATTCATTTCATAGAAACTGAAAAATTAGCTACTTCATGAATTAGAACCATTTTTGTTTTTTGAAACACAAAAATAACCATATTTTGTATAACTTTTCATGAGATGGAAACTACAATTTAACATTGTCTAATTTTTTATTTATTTGACCATAAATTTTCTAAGAAAAAAAATTAATTATATTTAATATATATTTATTTTAACACATTTAAACTGTGACAATAAGTATTATACTTAGCCTTATAATTAAAATATACTCAATAGTTAGTACTACATTTTGTTTCGAAGCAAAAAAATTCCTGGCCCTATTATGAAGCCCTGACTGTTTTGAAAAGTGTTGTTTCCTTATTATATTTGTACTTAATCAATAGTATTTCCATTTGATGTGTTCATTTGAAAATTTCCTAAGCCAAACTATCCTTTTAATAACCTTTAGTCCTATACAATTTAATTCTTTTGTTTCACAATGAAATTTATGATATTTTCAGATTACTTTTGTCAAATTTAGATTATAAGATGATCAGATAATTCTTTATCTTAGGGGTAACTTTGAAATTTGTGTATCACAGTCTTGTAACAAATTATTTATATTTTTATTCTAAATAATATTTTTAAATTTAAACTGATTATTGCTTATATATTTTTAATTCGAGTAATTTGAAAAAGTCTAACTAATTTTTTTTACTTTTAAATAAACTTTAATGATTTTTATGATTCCACGAGAGAACATTTTTTTCAAAACTGTTCAAAGTTTTTAAATCTTTTTACCATATATATATTTTTTTTTTATGTGTGTTTTGTTTCATTCAGTCTAAGCATGTTTTCAGTATCTTGATAATTATTGTATTAAATGCTGTTTTAACTTGGGGATGTCTGATAATTAGTTAATGAAATACTTTCTATTATTACTAATATTTTAGATGTCCTTAATGTAATGTTTATTGTTAGATTCATAAATTAGTATGGTGGTGCATTCATTTTCAGTGTTATGTAATGAAACAAATTACCCAAGTTAGTATTTTAGCTTCTAGTGTTCAATAGTAACTTTATTAATAAAAGTAATATTGATTATTTAAAATTTCTTAATACAATTATTTTCTATTAATAAAAATCAAATCACTTGAAATTTTATTTTCTGTTTTTTAAAAATCAAAATAATTTGGATCTGCTACAGTTATACTCTGTAGTAAATAATAGTTGCATCTCATCATTCTACCTTTAAGTATATAATTGACATTGTTCGATAATTTATTTGATAACAACTAAAGTATCTTTTATTAAATTTTGTTTTTACATCAAATTCCATTTTAATAAAAATTGCATCTAAAAAATTGTATATTTTGTTAAAATTGATATGTATAGTATATATTATTATAGATTCATTGATTTTAATATCCAATAGGAAAAAACTTGATCATTATTCAGATTGTCTTATTGTTTAAATTAGATGACCAGATAACAAAAAAATTACACAATGATAAATTTCAGGGTCCATTTTATGAAAAATAATAAACATGAATGAAAATTTTTTTACACTTAAGAAGCATAAAATAAGTGGCATGGATTCATTTAATTTCAAAAAGTGCTTAAATTTCATGAAATTTATATTTTTACTGAGTGGTTACGATGCATATGTAGTCCTCTTGGTAACTCAAAAGTTCAAAGTAAATAAAAAAAATTTTACTTATTAAAAATGTTGAATTATTAAAAGCTTACTAAAAATATGTATATACTATGTATGCATGTATTTATTTTTAAGTTTGTATGTAGTTTTCATTAAAAAAAAAATCAAAAGAAATATTCAAATTTACATTTATATACTTACATATTATCACTTTTAAAGAATTAGTTTAAGGTTAATTGTTTTTGGCTATCTCTCAATATGCGGTCTGTCAAAATGGACCATGTCTACCGTTAAAAATATGAAAAGTATAAAGCAAAAAATTTTAATTTATTAAAAAATGAATTTATAAATGTTACACTATGATACAAAAATATAGATTGAGTAGTTTGGCAACCTTTTTTTTTACAATGGATAATTTTTCTTACTTTACCATGGTTTTTCTTTGGTAGAGTTTTACTTTACTGCCACATTTGTGACATTGTTTTGCACAAGATAGTAGGCCGCGATTTTCAGGTATTAAACAGTAAATTCTTCAGTTAAACATTTTTTTTAAATTCTTTAACAAGCATTTTAAAAGCAATTTTTTTAGCTTAAAATTTAAAAAAGTTGTTTCACTATAAACGGCACTAATCAACTAACCTGATGTTGCATTTTAAAATTTATATTGTTATAAAAAATTAAGATAAAACATATAAATTGGTAGATAATAAATATAAATGATACGAGATCCTCTACTATATGTAGAACACATAACATTGATAAACCATATACTATACTCTTATTTATAGATATTTTGTACACAAAACGGAGGTAGACCGTATATTGGGAGATAGCCTTGTTTTTGTTGATTTAACACATTGTTCTCAATTCTTTTTCCTAACAACTGAATGGTTTAAATAAATTTTCCATACCTTCATTGCTTTTTATATTAAGTTTCAAGTTACAAATAGTTAACTATAATGGTTGGGTCTTACGAATCAATTCATAAACAAAAAATATTTACAGTAATAATCTATTTTTAATATGTAATATTTATTTGTTTTCTCGTCCATTTTTAAATGTATGTACTAAAATTTGGATAAGAAAATTTGAGGTATCAAGAGTTTTGAGTTATCAAGGTTTGAGTTTCCAAAAGTTTACTGTATAAACCCTTATAAAGTCTATTTATGATAAGTTAATAATAATCTTATTAATATGTATAACCATACTTATAATGAAGTAATTATTTAGGATTATAGAAAATAATGGTGAACACAAGAAAAATATTAATGGTTATGTAAATAAAAAAGTGATTACAAGGATTGAAAATATGACGTAAGTGTTATTATAGTTCATATTCAAAACAACGCTATCTTAGAATAAATGTCTATCTTAACTTTATATAATTTAGATTCTTTTTTATGCATAAATTTGTATCATAACTTAAAATTAAATTATTTTATTTAAAAAAAAAAAATAATTTTAGGTATATACTATATACAACTTATTTAAAGTTTAAATCATTGGAAAGTCTTAATAATAAATAAAAGATTTTCTTTTAAATATCAATTAGGTATCACTTTCATCAGTATATTTAATAAAAAAAAAAAAACATTTTTTAGGATTACAAAAAATAATGATGTCCACTGGAAAAATTTTGATGATTATGTTAATAGTAAACCAAATACAATGACAGAAAATATGTAAATACCATTATAGTAAATATTTAGAACAATGGAATCTCAAAAACTAAATTTGTTTAACCTTTGCACTTTAAATTTTTGAGAATCTTTATTATATTTTATACGTTTATTGTATTTTTATATTTTTAAATTATTTTATTTATAAAAACACTATTTTTTTACATTTTTTTACACACATTTAACCTATTTATATACATTGGACTTTCAATGAAAATCATTAGTAATTAAATTTAACAAGTTCTCTGAGTATAATATTTGTAATAAACAATTATTTTTCAGAATCGCAACAAATAATGATAAATGCTGGGATGATAATAATGTATGTGAAAACAGAGAACCAATAACAAATACTGAAAATATGTGAGTTTCATCATAGTAAATATTTTGTATTATAGAATGTAACTTTATTTTATTTAAAATTAAAATATTTATTAATTTTTGTTTTTTGTTTTTGCTATCTTCAATGTGCATATTACACTATATTCAATGAAAATATATGCTATTGCCTGACAAAAATCGATTCTACTGCGCATCTCCACGTAAAACTTTGCCTTATTGGAACTAGAAATTAGTTTGTTAGTTAGTTAATTATCAAGTGGGGGTGCTCATAATCGACATGTTTTCTCTGGATATAGTATAGGTATGCAGGAAGATTAACTGATTTAAATAATCAATGATAAGAAAATCAATATTTTTTCAAAACTTTATTACTTTTCATAATTTTTTTTAGTAAATCTTCAAATAAATGTAATTTCCAAATTTACAATTATATTCAATGTTGTTTTGAATAAAAATTTTATGTCGATATTATATTAATTAAAATGTATCTTGTTAAAATTGTGTTTTCTAAATATACCAAAATTTTGAAGTACAATATTCTAAGGGGATGTCAGCTATTTATTTTCTTTCTAATCCACGTGTAACATAGCAAATTTATTTTAAGAATAATTATGTGTTCTCATATTGGCTTTTTTTATGATATTTTAATAATTTTAAAGTGAGATATGATCATTTATAAATTGTAAGAGCTTACATAACTTGCATACAAATTAAAATATTACAAAAAAAGGCAGCTTTAAAAAAAATTAATATTATTAACTACAGTAGTGAATTCTCCAGGTATGCTCAGTATGCACCACATACATTAAAGCAGGTACTTAGTTTAGTAATCCCTAATCTAAAAAAGAAAAAAAGAATTGATTTTATTTATAAATAAAAAAAAAAAATGTGAAGGTAATTTATTTTAGTTAAAAGAGTATTATTAAGTAAGTGCTATTGCATAAAGTAATAAATTAAAGTCTTATTAATATGTACAAATTTGTGTTTTTTTATTAATTATAAATTAAATAGACTTATATAACACATTATGATAAATGAGCATGCCCGTACTTCAAATCAGCATGTGCCATTGTTTAACTGTAACTTTGAATTAAATATTAGTTCAATAATTCACTCTAAATCAACACTAATAACACAAGATTGGTTCTATTAAACATTTGGTCTATTGAATTTGGATTAGAAAGAAAACAATTTTATTGGAATATTTTCTGTACCCTATTGCTTAAGATATTCTTTATATTTAGTTAAATGCTATGTTAGATAATGTTGTTTTTCTTCATAAAACTAATTTTAGGATCACAAAAAGTAAAGATGAACACCTGAATAATAATGAAGGTTATGAAAAAAGAAAACCAATAACAAAGACTGAAAATATGTAAATATTGTCATAGTTAATATTTAGAACTAAATTTTTTTTCTCATTGAAAATTTTTTCCATAGTATGTGCATTTATTGTATTTAATAAAATATATTTTTACATAATTTTATTTTAACATAATTAAAATATATAAAACTTCTCTTAATAAAATAATTTTTAGGACCATTAAAAATAACAGTGAACTCCAGAAAAATAACAATAGTTTTGAAAATAAAAAATCTATTGCAAAGACTGAAAAGATGTAAGTAAAATCATAATAATATTCAAAACAATAGATCACAAAATTAAATTTTATTTTGAGATTCTTTGTTATAATTTCTTTTAATGTAACTTTAAATTTTTTATATTATTTTTTTTTAATTTAATTAATTGTAATAATTACTATTAGTTATATTTATTTTTTTAATCATAGCAATTTTCTAAATGTATATTTATCCAAATATTTTTAGGTTAAATATGTTTGAAGTGAAGGATGATATCTTTAGTTTGCCTTCTAAATTTTCTTTAGCACATTGTGTTTGTGAAGATTTTTATAATGCGTTTGGCATGACAGCTGATTTTAAGTAAGATAATAATACTTATAATGTTTTTATTTTATCTTTGAAAATCAATTAACTTTTCAGATTCAAATTTGGTAATATTGGTACATTAATGGACCTAAATTTACATGTGAGCGATGTTGGTCATATTAAATATAATGAGCAACATGTATTTTATTTAGTCGTGAAAAAAAAATCATCACAAAAACCACTTTTATCTAGCTTAGAAGTAGCGTTGTATAATCTACGTGATAAAATGAATGATCTTAAATTAACAAAACTTGCAATTCCAAAACATGGATTTGATGCATACAATATGATGGATGTGAAGTCACTAATATCAAAAATATTTGCATTATCTAATATTGAAGTCACTATATGTCTGACATCATCAGTAAGTTATTATTATTATATAATTTATTAAGTTTGCTTAAATTATTTAAATTGTGTTTAAATTTATAGAAATTAGAAACAGAACATATTAATCCACCTAAAATAAATTTTACTTCTAAACAACTGTGGGAAATGGAGAAACAAACTGATTTAATAATTTTTATTAATATGTGTTCAATGTATTCAGAGAATTGGAATGATCAAGTTGTTGAACATATCAATGCTAAATATCCATTTAAAGAGAGGTAATTTGTATTTTTTGTTGATGAATATTAAATGTTTAAATTCTTCAAACAAATTTATTATTGCCACATATTTTTAAATGTTGTGGCCCCACATTACTAACAGCAGTTAAGTGATGAAGAAAAGTAACTTTTAGTCATAAGAAAATTTAAATCTAAAATTATTTTTATACGTTTATTGAAATATCATCAAACATATTCTTAATGTTTATTAAACAAATATGATTAAATAACATTAAATATGCAATACTAATGCAATATTTACTCGTCATCTGCTTTCATACACTACTATTGAGTCAAATCCAAATTAAAATAATGAACAATATATAATTGCATTGGTATTGTTTTTGTCTTATTTAATCTATGATTAAATTGATTGAATTTATGCTATATTCAAGAAAAATTCAACAATTCAATTCAATATAAATTTTAAATAATATTTTAAAACTGACTGGCACTAGGATGTTATAGCCGTGATATGTCATATCTGAATATAGCCTATCTTGGGCTCCTTTGTATAGACCTATCACTTGATAGATTTCTAATGGCTAACCAATTCAAGTTATTGTGTCCCCATAATCCCATGGTATACACATTTGTGTAATGATAATATTTTTCTCAAATTGGATGCTGTATATCTTATGATTATGCAGCTATGCTTATCTAGTTTTAACTACTGCAAAGTTGCTAAAGATTAATTGCATTATCCTTGAATAAAATGCTTTTATGATAATGTGTTGAACATAATATAACTGTTGTTGATCAGTCTTCACGATTCTATAACATAATATATTAATCAATTCATTCCTTTCCCTTTTTGTGTATTGCTATACACATATTATGTTATCATATAAAATAACAGAGCATGTAGCAAATATATTTTTCTATAAAAATAATATTGACTTAATTACTCTTAAAAAAAAATTAGTTTTATAAAAAAAGTAGTTTAAATTAACCTTAATAATTAGTTATTCTTATTATTAATAATTACTTTTTGTTGATCATTTATAGATTATTAAACGATATTAATATTAAACCAATGGCTCCCGGCGATATACTATTATATAAAATTGGTACTGAAGTATTGTTCTGTATATTCATTAAACCTTTCGATCAAAATCCATCATATTTTAAATGTCTCGAAAAAGCTTTTCAAGAAATGAAATCACAATTAACTGGTTATAGATATTTGGGAGTTCAACAAGATCCATTAATTCACAAGACTAACACACACAATTTAGCACGCAATTTGTCTATGCTGAAATCAGTTTTTAGTAATCGAAATGCTGAAATTTGGGTTTGTGGTGATACTGAACAGCATAAAACTTATCAATATCAACAATATAAAAAAACTGTAACTGATGCCATTGATGTGAACCATAAACGAAATTCAAAAACAAGTGCAAAGTCTAGAAATAAATTAGATAAAAAGAGACATAGTACAAATAATAACAGTAAACATGGTTCGGCAGAAAACTATAATTGCAAAAATACATCAGTTGTCAACTCTGTTACACGTTTAAATCAAGAAGAAATATCTATTGATAATTACATGACAGGTAAATAAATGTTAATATTCACCATAAAGTTAGGTATGTGCAGGTTATAATATTTTTAATTTTATTTTCTATATTGGTTGATATTTTAGAGAAATTTATATCATATTATTTTATTTCATGTTATTTGAAAAAAAAGAAGTATATTTTTTAAAGAATCAATCATTCTTTTTATAATATTTTTATCTGTACTTTTAAAATTCTATCAAAAAAATATTGCTAAAATAGTGTAAAATACGCCAAAACTTAGTAAATAATCAAAATTTAGTTTTTAGAATGTTTAAATAATAATAAATCATAAAAAGTGGACATGTAAATAACTACTCAATTAGACAATAGATAATAAAGGTGCACTTTGTCATTGATTAGGACATTGTAATGGATATGATAAATTTTAATTTAATAGTATACCAATCATTGTATAAGTAAACTTATTTGGAATGTAGACTGTCGTAACTTCTTTCTGACCAATTATCAACTATATATTTACATTGTTTTTTTTGTAACAATAATATTACATTTTGACAAATATTCATATATACACATACATAAATATTTGTTTTTCAAAACTATTTCTACTTTTGACTCACATAAGTACAAACTTAACTCTGTCAAACAAGAAAACACACCATGGTATAATAAAAATTGTTTTTTCTGGTATCCCTATAAAACAAGCCATACTGTTACCGTTGAAACCAGTTTCAATATGGATAGATATTTTCTCTAGAAAATGTTTTATCTAACAAAAATAATAGCAAAAAAAAAAACATCAGTGTAAAATTAATACACTTATACAACTATGAACTCCATTTACAATTATTAAAATATTTTTAACTAAAAATCTGTTTTAGAAAAAAAAAATGTATTGTGTACAAATTCTAGAAACTAATTTACATTTAATAAAAATATATCAACACATTTTTTGAATTGATTAGACAAAAAACGAAAAGCTAATTGGACATGATTTTATAATTAGTATAAAATAACATTTTTGATTAATAGATTAAAAATAACACAGGTATATTAATCTTGGGCATTAGTTTTTTACTTAATCAGACAACATAATATTATTTCAAATTCTTATTTACAATTTATTGCATTCATTAAATGATAAATATCCTCCCTCTATTATTTAAGAAAGAAATATTTTTAAATATTAAATTTATAATTTATAAATACTTAAATTTTAACGACATATTGTTATTTATTAATTTATTATTCTTTTTTTTTTTCAGAAAATTGGGACAACTGATTATTTTATAACTTTCATTTTATTAACAATTAATATCTTTTATTAAGTTATCTTTGCTGGTATTACTTTCATGAGTATTAAATAAACAGAAAGTTTGGTTTGTTGTTTCATGATAAATTAAATAAATTAAAAGAAGAAACTTTTAAAACAATTTTACAATTTATAGTTTTTAGTGATTTTCTTAAATTGTCAATCATAAATTATTAATATACATTAAATACATTTTAAGTACATTTACATTTTTTTTCTTTTAGATCAAAATTTTTATTTGTATATTTATTTCTTGAGATCAGTTGATTTCTATGTATAATTTCATCAGTTATTTTTGAATATTTGTAAAATGTTGTTTTTTCAGTTCAATATCTCTAAATTGTAACCTTTAACTTATAAATATTTTCTTAAAAATAAAAATTTTTATTTGTTAAATGAATTAAGTCATATTAATATTTTAATAAATTAATGAAATAATTTCATTATGTACTGTATTTGTATTATTTTGTAAAATGTTATTTTAAAAATTATTTATAATATTTTATTTTAATTGAATAAATACAAAAAAATAAAATTATTAGAATTATTACTATATTTTAATATGGTATTTAGTGTTGTTAGTTCAATATGTCCAGGTCGTTGATAAATAATATTTACACAATAACCAACTAATGGAACTATGGTACTATGAAACCATAACATTTGTACTGTTTTCAATAAGTCTAGAAAAAAAAAATTATTTTTAAAAGAACACCATTTCTATAGGTGTTGTCTACTTTTCTATATCTTACAAAGACATAACATTTGTTCATTTTTTATGTCTTAAAATTACATGATCAAAAACTTGCTTCAAAATAAAAATATCAATAAAATTATCCAAGACACCATCGATAATAATCTTAACTTTATTTTTATAATAGGTAAATAAAAATTTTAAAAGTAACAGAATAAAATGGATTATTATAAATGTAGTATTTTCTATTTATAACAGATTGCTAAGACAAAGATAACACATGTGAATATGGCAACCTCATGTTTTTGTTCCGTTAATATGAATTTTAGTATCAAAAATATTTGTGTATAATGATTTATTAAGTTAAAAATTGTATGAACCAGCTTTGATGTAACGCCTATAATTTCCCAAGTTTAATTTTTAGTAGTTGATTAATTGAGATTACCTATACATGCACAATGTATATGTAATATAATGTATAATGTAAATGAGGCAATTATAGGTCTCTGGTCTGTATGAAGTCCACAAGAAATAATTTAAGTAAGTTGTATCTAATACCTATACGGCTATACAGTTAGATAAGTTAATGTAATAAATGTAATTCCAATATTTTGGTGTGATATTTTGAATAATTATTATCAATAAAATACCTTTTCTTAAGATTTAACTAATTTTATTTCAGCACTTACTCATTATACAATAGTACAATACCACTGCATGCCACTGATATCTATTTAATATATTAATCTAATTAGTCTAATTCCTACCAAAAGATTTGAAAATAGCGATTTCATTGATTTCAATGTTGGTAAGTTAATATAAAACCATTTAATATATGGGGCTTGTAACTAGATGAAGATTATTCTTTAACATTATAAATTTTTCTGCAGGTTTGTAAATTTACAAACCGGCCGTTGGCTCGTGTATTTAAGTTAAATATATTCTATAGACTATAATAATCTTTCAACTCCATACACACATTAATGTATTTAATATTTTTTTAAATTTTTACTCGTTTTTTTAGTATAAAAACAGTTGTTCAATTATGAAAAAAAAAATTGGCCTTCTTAAATTTTGGCATCCTTATAAAAAAACTCAAATGTTGCCATTATTGCTAAGCACACAGCAATTGATGAAATAACTTATCATCTCTATCTGCCGTGATATTATATCAGTAGGTATAGGTACCTACTCTGCGTATCTCAATACTATTGCAAGTATTATTGTTTGATAATTGTTATTATAATTTTTGAAGAGGGTTAGGGACTTGACGACCATAAAATGATCGAAATGAATACTTCTATGCATTATTATAATGCTGAAAATTTAAAAATACGTTTTTAAATATTTAAGTATTTACAAACAATAATTCCTGTTTATTTGTATTAAAATCAATTCATGATAAACAGAACATGGCTAGAAATCATATTTAATAACTAGATAATGTTTATCAATTATAATGAAAATTCAAACACTTGTAGTAGGTAACAGTTTTTGTTCACGAATCCATGTCATAATTAGTGGTACCTATTACCTAACAACTAACAATACAGATGATCGGCGCGGAAAATACAAACACTAATTTCATAATTTAATTTACCTACCCTTTTATAATGTAAGTACTCTGTAATTTAAATAAAATAAAACCATCCAACTTATTAGTTTGAGAGTTTGTCTCAGGCACAGAAAATTTATTTAAAATTAAGTTTTTGTATAAAACATTTTTAAACAACGAATTTTCAATATGAACTCGTATTTCTATGAAAATGAAACATCTTTTTACTTATGTGTATAATTTAACTATATTCTTGATAATTACTCAAAGCTATTCAAACACTTTTCTTAGAAATCTTTAACAAATGGTATGACATGTATAGTGTAGTCAGTGTATACAACGCTTTATTTTAGTGGCGGTCAAAACGCTAGTAAACTCATAAGTTGCAACGGTGCGTGAAAAACGTTCCGTATCGGTACTCCGGTTACGAATTCGTCAGTACGCGCCGTCGAATGTTATCAATTTGGCGGCCTTCTCACCCGGCTAGAAAATTGCTGAACATCGTTATGAACCTTTGTTGTTCAGCGTCAAACTTGTTTGCGTTCGTTTCATTAATGTTTTTTCAACCAAATTTCGCAATAGTTTTATTCATCAACAGACTCAATTCAATCGCTGCACTAAACGAAGAAGGTGAGTCACTATGTGTCGTGTGTATTTATTAACAGTCATGTTTGATGTTTTCAAATTCACTAGAAATTTGACAAAGCCGCTCTAAAATGTATTTTATTTTTATGTTTTTACACCGTATAACGATTGTGCTGTACACTGTTTATGAAATTATATAAATAGCTTGCTTAAAAAATATATCACACGAACCTGAAGTATGATGCTATTAAATGTTATGGACCATGTCTCTCTTTAATTTATCCTCCTGCCATAGTGTGTTTGACTTGCATCAATATGAGGTTATATTACTTAAGAATTTACTGATGTCAATATATTTAGGTATTATACTAGAATGAAGGTTAACCTGGTCAAACCACACCAAGCATAAATTCAAACAACTAAACCGTCATTTTCATTTACTTTGTCCAATCAAAAAAATCTTTAAAACAAAACATTCATTTTAATTTAAAAATCTATCATCAAACCAGTATGATAGTATTAAGTTCTGCCAAACCAGCCAATATTTGTTTTTTATAAGTCTTACAATATATTGCTTTAAGATATGTCCCATGATACATAACAACCATTGCTCTTCACAATAATATACAAACAATTAAAATAAAATTTTAAAAATTCACTATAAAATATTCTACTCAAAATCATCAATCTCATTAAAAACATGTTTTCATTTACTTAATTTTAATAACAATTTATATTGTTGTCTTAAAAGAATACAGCATCTTAAAATTCTAGTAACTGATTAACAACTATTTTGAGGTTTTGTTACTATTTAGCTTCTTTTTTTCTTATTTTTCATATTCATTGTATCACATATTATTGATTGATATTACTTATTGTTAATGTTTAACAAACTGTATTATAGTTTTATAAAATTAAAATTCTTAAAAATACTACTTTGTAATGCATATCAATATATCACTTCCTATATTTTATTATAACTTATTTTATTTAGTGAAAAGATAAAAAAATTTTCATTAAATAACTTTAAATTGGTCATTAATTTGTAAAATATATTTTTCAAAAATTAGTTTGATAAATTAAAAATAATATCTTTATTCTATAAAAAAATGAATTCCTCTTAGGGTAAATTCTATTTAGAAGAGACAAAAAGTTTTAATTTTATTGTTGGTCCTAAAAACTAAGGATAGAAAATGTTTCAAAAAACCTTTATTAAAAAAAAAAAAAAAAAAAAAACAGTAAAATGTATACAAAAAAATACTTAGTATATCAGTTTTCTTAATTTATGAAACAAATATTTAATATTTAAAAGCATTATAATTTTTATATTAATTATTATTAAAGAATAAACCATTTTAACTATCTATTCTCTTAATCAAATATCTAATTTGTATATTTATTTTATTTGTACAGTAGACGCCGCTTATAAAATTCTGGGACTAGCACAAAGTGAGTCTTATAATTAAATGAATCTTACAGGCAAGGTGGGGATAAAAAACAAAATACTTATGAATTGTATTTTATTATCTTGCTTTTATTTTAATCTACTTAAATACACACATATTACATATTACTTATTAGTGAATAAATGAAAACATTATGATTAAAAAATTAAAATAATATTAGTATAAAAATTATTATTTATTAATTAAAAAAATTATAAATAATGTATTTACATACTTATTATATTTATGAAAAAAATTTTTAATTTTGGTTTGCTTTCAATTATATTCCAATATTCCAGAATATACTACTTGTATTCATATTGTACATTACTCACATTCCTATTATGATAATTGCGATAAATGTGATATGTGATTTGTGTTATGCATATACAAATTATTAAGCATGAATCAAAACTACTAGTAATAATTAATAAAAATATGAAATTTTTGAAAACAAATTTATTTCTAAGTTTTAATCAAAATGTTTATTTTCTACCCCCCCTTTTTTTTTTTTTACAAAATTTGAGTCTTTTAAACGAAATGTTGAGTTTTATATCCAAATTTTTCATAACGTATTTAGATACGTCTGGACTGTTTGGTTTTGAGTCTATTAAGCAACTGAACCTTATATTCACGAGTCTTTTAAGCGGTGTTCACTGTATTAGATTTGTATCTAGATCTGTTTGTAATTAAAATGATGATAAAAAAGATTCTCAAAAAATGCAGACAAAAACAATCTAAAAAAATAATGCTATTAAGATGTTTATCAAAAACAATTATG